AGTCAAAATATAGAGATGAATCTCTAAATTTAAAACACTTTATTTGGGAAGCAAAAATTGCAATTCTGGCCACACACAGAACATTTTATTTTAGTCTTCAGTCTTTAGGATGTCTGAAGAACAAAGAAGGTTGGAGGTTTTATAAAAAGGAGAACTGTTACGTGTTATTCTGAAAGTTCATTGGCACCAGAAAGTTTGGTGAGTGACAGTGGTGTGTAAAACTGGTCTTAGAGTTGCAGCAGTTTGTTTCAGTAGTTAATAGATAAAACTGATTTCAGATTACAACAGGCAATGTCTGAAGCCAGCCTGGCAGATAATTACATTCTTAGTGCAATGTCATTATATTATGTGCTCTGAGTGCTTTTTCCCCCGGACTATCAACTTTGTTTTTGTTGAATATAAGAAATGACCCAATTTGTATGATCACCTTTCACAGTTCCCTTTTCTGATCAAGATTTTTCTCTGAGAACATCAGGGAGCAGCCATTATGCAGTAAGGCTTAACTGCTCCTCAGTGACAGGATGAATCTATCTAATATGTCCAACTTATTAGATTTCTGTGAATTTATGTAATTTTTGAAACGTGATTATCAATGACATACCCATAAATGTAACTAAAAGATCTAGTATCACTTATTTGACAATGTTTCCTACACAGTTTACCAAATAAGCCTAACTAATATCTCTACAAGATGACATATATCTTTTGAGGCTTTCCATGGGCTCAACTGAAAAATTCTAAAGTTAATTCTAGGTCAAAAAGACTTAATTTAGGATTTGGTTTTAGGGAAGTTTTTCAAAGATATTAAAAAGCTCAAAACACTAGATCAAAACAGAATAACAGGTCACTGTAAAATAATAGTTATTAATTTAAAAAGAATGATAGTCAAAAGACTCTACAAGCAGTCCAGAAAGTTACATAGATATAAAAACCTTAACCCTTTTACAGCTTAGTTTTCCTAAGTAATAAAAAATCTAATAAAGGCAACATAGAAAGTTATCTTGACAAAATGTAAAATCTTTCTTTCTTGGACCCACTACCAAAAAGGCAGAGAAAAACCTTCTGCAGGGTGAGTGTTTCTCCTTATGGAAGCTCATTTAGATAACCTGGAAGTCAAACCTGATGCAGACATATGAAGACTATGTCCAAAGTTATGAACGTAACAATTCATATACATCAAGAAAAGCTAAGAGTACAGAATCAAGTTATACTGAAGGAAAATATTGCTTTTCTAGGCCTTTAAGATAAATATTTTGGTGTCAGGCCAAAAAAGAAGAGTTAGAACCAGAAAAAAAAAAAGTTATAGAAGCTAATAACAAAGTTGGAGAAGAGCATTGTTACCCCAGGCCTTCACAAGGGGAGGAAAAAGGTGAAGGCAGGGATGTCGGACCTACAAGTCATGTGTAGTGAGATATAGCAAAAGCTGAATCTCTGAGATGTGAATCTGAGAAATGTCAAAAGGAAAACTACCTCAGGAAATGAAATTACCATTTTCAATGAAAAGGACAGCATTTTAAACCTGAAACTAGAGAAATTAAATAGATCTCAGGAAGAAATGGCAGAGACAAAAATTGTGCAGTTCAGAACATGGCTGTTAAACAGATTCTAGAATTAAAAATCAAAACCTCTTGCAGTTTTATTAAGGACAGATCAGTACTTCAGGAAGTATTTGTTATTTTAAATACAGAGGACTACACTCTGGTCCGGTATCAGCAACTCCTGAACCAGTGTTTAATTTTTAGAAAAACACATAAACAATTTCTTTCTAATCCCAGCCAATCCGATCGCAAATAAAACTTCCTTCACAAAGCCCACCTTCTATAAATCCTCTTCCACTTGTTTAGAACTTACATTATTTTCCCAAGCCCCCATTCTTAGTTCTGTAGTTTTTCTTTTTTGTAAATTTTGGAATAACTAATTATTGGATCTCAGGACAAAAATGTATCACTTAAGATTTTTTCTCATACAAAATTATTTTTCCCTAAATTCATATTGTGATTAATAGACCTAAATATATTTAGTATTTTTTATAAAATTTAAGAAGCCAAGAAAGAACTTTTATGTATTTGCCAGTTTGGCTCAGTTTTGGATATAACTTGGTCATTTAATATTTATTACTTAATACAACTTTAAAATTTTAAATTGCATGGAAGCTTCATTTATAAATGTTAATTTCTCTTCCGATTACCTAATTTATTTTTAAGTAATTATACCTAGATTACTTATGAAAATTAAAATATTAGAGCTAGTCACTATTTTATTTTTTATTAACCAATTTCATAGCCTGTTAATATCAAGTGTTTACCTAAGGTAGAACCTTAAAGTTTAATACATGGGTATCCCACTGATAACTCAGAAAATACAGCTGTTTTTATTAAATCAACAATATTAAACCTTATCAATCAAAGAACTGCATACACAAACATTATTTTGTTTTAGGCTGGGTTTATAGCTTTATAACCTTAAGAACTCTAGCAGAGGCAGATATATGACCAGTAAACCCAGCCAAAAATGTTGACAATTTTGAAGACTTTTCTAATTTTTTTATCAACAATTTAAAAACCAATTAATTTATCAAGGATTTGTTTAAGTAAGGCAAAGTAAAAATATTTGGAGTTGTTACATATTTCATATGAGTACATATTTTATCTAAATAGAATTCCTTAAGGGATTTCTGGCCGACTACACCAGGTTTTATCATGTAGATGCAACACATCACACAATACATGTATATATGCATAAACACATCTAAACACATACACATACATGTAAATAAAGATCTTGCAGATTTTATTTTAGAATTGTAGTCATAAGATAGTGAAACATACATACTGGTTTCTTAAAAAGCAGTTGAATTGAAATTATTTTCTGACAAAATGAGAGAAGGCTAAGCTTTTAACTTTTTGTTTGTACTCCTATAAAGGCTGTGAAACCAATTTTTAGTAAAGCAGTTTGAGGCAGTTACCAATATAGTGGACTGGACAAAGAATAACTGTGGAAATGTGTCTGATTTACGTGAGGGGGGGTAGGAGATAAGAGTTACTCTAATGAGGTCTGTACAGTGTTTTCTTGTTCTCAAATATTTGTCCTTGAAGATAAGAATGCTGCCACTCCTTATAGTATAGTGTTTTACATGAGAATTTAATCTTTAGCTTTTAAGAAACAGCACGAAGGTCAAAACAATTTGATTTTATATCTGCTGGTTTCAAGTGTTTTTACTTAAATAATTAGTATGCCAGAATAACTTAGGTGTTTTAGAAAAAGAGAGTTTAAATTACAAAAGGGTGAAGAGGAGGAATTGTAAGAAGGGGAGGGGAAGCTCCAGAGAGGAAAGCCTCCCAGCTAGCTTTGAGACAGTATTTTGCAGTTAGACAATCTTTGAGTGCTGATTTTTTTTTTTTTTGCCTCAAGGTATCAATTGAAATCTACGTCTTATTTGTGGTGTATGATTTTATAGCTGTGGTCTTTTAGTTTAGACTGTTTGAATGATCTCTGTGATGTTTAAACATGTTACCAGGTGGAATTAAAAAAAAAATCTTGCCATGCCGTTGAACTTTGAGAGCCCATTTGTAACTAAATTTATCTAGGTGATTTAGCACTCACCAATTAGATGCAAGTGCTAATAAACAAAGGCCAAGTAAATGCAAGAACTGATAGAAAACAAAGTACATATTTACCAAGAAAGATGACTGCCTTCTCTAAATGAAGAGGAAAATTCCCTCCTCCAAACCTTGAAGCCAAGATGAGTTAGCTTTGGAATCCCACTTCTGATACCAAGTATGTCCAAGTCCAATACAATCCAGAGGTGAATCTAAAACATTTGGGAAGCAAGAATTGCAAGTCCAAGCATACACGAGTGGTCTTTGCTATGTCCAAGGAACAAAGAGAAAGTTTGAGGTTTTATAAAAAGGAGTCACATGTATTGTTCTGAAAGTTCACTAGCACTAGGAAAGTTTTGGGGAGCTGGCAAGTTCTGATTGGTGAGTGTTGATGGTGGGTAGAAAGTCTTATAGTAGAAGCAGGTTGTTTCAATAGCTATTAGATAAAACTGGTTTTAAGTGAACAGTAGCCAGTTTCTGTGGGTAGGGTTGCAGAGAACTACATTCTTAGGATAATATATGATGTTTCCTGGGTGCTTTTCCCCCGGCCTCTTGACTTTATTTTAATTGGGCATGATAGGAATGACCCAATTTATATGATCAAATTTCACAGTGGCAATCAGGTTTTGTACTATTGGTGGGTTCTAACATCAACTGGAGTCTTAGAACTATTCCCTGAGGATAAGAGGGGCCTACTGTGGGCTCATACATTGTACCAATGCCAATTTCCTGGTTTTGATATTATACTGCAGTTACAAAAAGATGTAACCATTGGGGGAAACTGGGTGAAGGGTACACAGCACCTCTACTATATTTGCAACTTCCTGTGAACCTACAATTATTTCACAATTAAAGACTGGAAATCATTTCAACATATTTTTGTTGGTTAACATGAAATAAAATATTTCTATATTGTATAGGAACCATGACTGATTAGTATAATACAAATAATTTACTTTCTTAACACTACTTAGTCCTTAAAACTATTTCTGAATAACAAAATGTTACACTTGGAAATGTTTGCTTGATATGAAAAAAAATGTGATCATTTTGGAATACTTAAAAAATGCGTGTGTATGTTGTCACATGCGTCTGTGTGAAGAGACCACCAACAGGCTTTGTGTGAGCAATAAAGCTTTTTAATCATATGGGTGCAGGTGGCCTGAGTCCGAAAAGGGAGTCAGCAAAGGGAGTTAGGGCAGGGGCAGTTTTATAGGATTTGGGTAGGTAGTGGAAAATTACAGTCAAAGGGGGTTTTTCTCTTGCGGGCAGGGGCGGGGGTCACAAGGTGCTCAGTCGGGGAGCTTCTGAGCCAGGAGGAGGAATTTCACAAGGTCATGTCATCAGTTAAGGCAGGAATCAGCCATTTTCACTTCTTTAGTGATTCTTCAGTTGCTTCAGGCCATCTGGATGTGTATGTGCAGGCTTGGGCTCAGAGGCCTGACATTCCTGTCTTCTTACAGCAATAAGAGAAACAAAACAAGATAGTGGTGAAGTGTCGGCGAGGGGAAAATTTTGGGGGGGTGGTAAGGAGAGAGAATGGGCGATGTTTCTCGGGGCTGCTTCGAGCAGGATTAGGGGTGGCGCGGGAACCTAGAGTGGGAGAGATGAAGCAGAAGGAAGATTTTATGGAAACGGGTGATATTCTGGGGTTGTCAGAAGGAGCATTTGTCGTATAGGATGGTTGGTGATGGCCTGGATACGGTTTCGTATGGACTGAGAAACTAAACGGAAGACACAAGGTCTGAATAAGAGGAGAAAAACAAGTATTAAACGACTAAGAATTGGGAGAACCCAGGACTTCAAATTGGAGAGTGCCTAACAGGGTTCAGCATGATTATTTGCTTGGTTGGCCAGTTTTGGGGCTCTATCCTTGAGTTTTTTTGTTGTCATATACCAGGCCAGATTGATTTAGGTAAAAACAACAATCTTCATTTAAAAATATACAGAGTCTTCCTTTTTCAGCAGTGAGTAAGTCAAGGCCTATTCCTGTCTTCTTATATTAATAATAAGAAAAACAAAATAAAATACTAGTGAAGTGTTGGTGTCATGAGGGGAACAGGAAGCTGTTCAGTCTTATTTGCAAATTGATTTTTGGGGGTAAGGAAAACTAGTGTACATGTGCCTGTCTAATTAACAGGCAGACACATGTAGGTGGAGGAGCCACAAAGGAAGACGAGACCTTGTGTAAGGCAAAACTGGAAATGTAAAGTGGGTGAAAGAATTGGAGTGTGCTTTTCCAGCAGAGGTCATGTATCCATTCCAAGAGGGAGTTAAGAGTGGTGGTTAGGGGGTAAGACCAGGACCAGCTATGATGGTTTGGAGAAAAAGTATAAGCCGGCAGTGTAGACAAGGGCAGGGCATTTATGGATAGGTGAAAACGAAGAATAGGAGTATGACTAGACAGAAGATAGCAGGGATGAGAAGTTTTTGGGATGTAGTCTAAGTAGTGGGGGTGACTGCGTAAAGCCCTGTTGCAGTAAGGAAGAATAGACCTAACAAAATGAAAGGAGGTATTAGGCTCATAAGGGTTACTATGTTCTTCAGAAATGTGGGTGAGTTTAAGGGAAGTAGGGGTGAGTACTTGTGACTTCTAAGAGGAAGAGATCAGGCTGGCTGTCCAATGGACACGGCTTTATTCTGGAACGGTGAACCCAATGGGGAGGGTCCCGCAGGAGGACGGCAGTTGGGGTATTACAGATGACTAAGTAGAGTCCAGTCCATCGAGGTTGTAGAGTTTGACGGGTCAGATTCTTAACAAGAACTGATCATCCAGCTAGGGTGTCTTCATATGGCTGGGAATCTGGAGGAGGCAAGAGAAGATTAGCAGCCTGGCAAATTTCCTGTCTAGCCTGCTGGAGGACTGGAAGATAGTCACCTAGAGGGCTGGGGTCTGGGATGAGGTTGGGGCCGAGCAAGAAAGTGCATCCATATAAAAGTTCAAATGGACTGTACTCCATAGCATCTCGAGGACAGGCTTTAATTCTGAGAAGGGCAAGAGGTAAAAGTACTGTCCAGTCCTTTTTAAGTTGGAGGCTGAGCTTAGTGAGGTGTGTCTTTAAAAGACCATTAGTCCGTTCTACCTTTCCTGAAGATTGAGGATGATAAAGGGTATGAAGGTTCCACTGAATACCAAGAGCCTGAGAAACTGCTTGGGTGATTTGACCAATAAAGGCTGGTCTGCTATCAGACTGTATAGGGGTGGGAAGGCCAAACTGAGGAATTACATCTGACAGAAGAGATGACCATGGTGGCCTTCTCAGACCCCGTGGGAAAGGCCTCTACCTATCCAGTGAAAGTATCTTCTCAGACCAAGAGGTATTTTAGTTTCCTGACTCAGCGCATGTGAGTAAAGTCAATTTGCCAGTCCTGTGCAGAGGCAAATCCCCGAGCTTGATGTGTAGGGAAGGGAGGGGGCGTGAACAATCCCTGAGGAGTAGAATAGCAGATGGAGCACTGAGAATCGATTTCCTTGAGGATAGATTTCCACGATGGAAAGCAAATGAGGGGTTCTAAGAGACAGGCTAGCAGCTTGTAACCTACATGGAAGAGGTTATGAAGTGATGACAGAATAGAATGGGGCTGTGAGGCTGGAAGGAGATATTTTCCTTGGTCCAAAAACCATTTACCTTGAGTGGGGAGGGATTGATAGGGGGAAACTTCAGTGGGAGAGTAAGTAGCAGTGACTGATAAGGAGAAAAACTGGCCATAAGAGACAGAAGTAGGAATGCTGGCTGCTTCTTTAGCTACTTATCAGCATAAGCATTGCCCTGAGCAATGGGATCTGATGCCTTTTGATGGTCCTTGCAGTGAATGACTCCAGCTTCCTTTGGAAGTAAAGCAGCCTTGAGAAGAGTTTTTATTAGAGAGGCATTAATGATGGAGGACCCTTGCATAGTGAGGATACCTCTTTCAACCCATATAACAGCATGGTGGGTGGGATACGGAAGGTATATTTAGAGTCAGTGTAAATATTGACATGTAGTCCCTTTGCAAGAGTGAAGGCCTGGGTTAAGACAGTAAGTTTGGCTTGCTGAGAGGTAGTGGAGTGGGGCAGAGCGATAGCTTCAGTAATAGATATGGAAGACACTATAGCATAGCCTGCCTTTGCCAGTGATTGGCAATTGGGCCTGGAAGAACTATCATCAATAAACCAAGTGTGGTCTGGGTGGGGAATAGGAAAGAGGTAAATATGGGGAAATGGGGAGAATGAATGGTTTAGTTAGGATGGCAAAACTAGGTATCTAAAGGTGAAAGTGTCTAACCATGCCTAGGAGGGAAAGTTGTTGTTTTGTAGAAGGGGTTGGGGTTTGGGAGATTAGCCGGACACGATTAGCAGGGAGAGCACATGTGTTTTTATGAAGAATTATGCTGAGATAGGTAACAGATAAGGAAGAAACTTGGGCTTGACTGAAGTAATAGGGGCTGTCCCTGAAGCCTTGTGGCAGTATAGCCCAGGTAAGTTGCTGAGGCTGATGGGTGTCAGGGTCAGTCTAAGTGAAAGCAAAGAGAGGCTGGGATGAAGGGTGCAAAGGAATAATAAAGAAAGCATCTTTGAGATCCAGAACAGATTAATGGGTTGTGGAGGGGTAAAATGGGGGAATTGTAAGGAGAGTTTATAGGCTTTATAAGGCCATGCTGTAACAGGTGAGTGAAAACAGGCTTTAATTCTTTTAAAGCGTGCTGTGGGATGGGATATTGGCATTGAGTGGGGTAAGGGTGATTAGGTTTTAATGGGATGGTAAGGGGTGCATGATCACTTGCCAAGGAGGGAGTAGAGGTGTCTCATACTTCTGGATTAAGGTGGGGAGATACAAGGGGAGGATGTGAAGGAGGCTTTGAACTGGGGAAAAGGGTAACAATGAGGTGTGGCTGTTGCCTAGGAATAGTCAGGGAAGCAGATAATTTAGTTAAAATGCCTCGACCTAATAAGGGAACTAGGCAGGCAGGGATAACTATAAAGAAGCGCATAAAAGAATATTGTCCCAGTTGGTACCAGAATTGGGAAGTTTTAAGAGGTTTAGAAACCCGGCCGTCAATAACCACAACTGTTACAGAGGCAAGGGAAAGAGGCCCCTGAAAAGAAGGTAATGTGGAGTGGGTAGCCTCTGTATTGATTAAGAACGGGACAGACTTACCCTCCACTGTAAGAGTTACCTAAAGCATCTGTGATGGTCCAGGAGTCTTCCAAGACAATCAGGCAGTGTCAGTCTTCAGCCACTAAGCCAAAAAGATCTGGGAAGGAGTCAGTCAGCGAGCCTTGGGCCAGAGTTCCAGGGACTCTGGGAATGGCTGCCAGGCTAGTTGGACAGTCCAATTTCCACTGGGGTCCCGCAAAGATGGGACCTTACTTAGGAGGAATCCCAGGCTGCAGGCATTCCTTGGCCCAGTGGCCAGATTTTCAGCATTTGAAGCAAGATCCTGGGGGAGGAGGTCTCGGAGGAATGCCTGGCCACTGTGGTTTAGGAGTTTTGAAGTTCTTGTGTGCTGGAGATGTGGCTGTTTCTCTCACAGTGAAGGCAAGTAATTGCCACTCTTCTCTATTATTGTACACCTTGAAGGCAAGGTTAATTAAGTCCTGTTGTAGGGTTTGAGGGCTGGAATCTGTTTTTTGGAGCTTTTTCTAATGTCGGGAGCGGGTTGGGTAATAAAATGCGTATTGAGAATAAGACGGCCTTCTGGCCACTCTGGGTCTAGGGCAGTAAAGCCTTTAAGTGTTGTTGCCAAATGGGCCATGAACTGGGCAGGGGTTTTATATTTGATGAAAAAGAGCCTAATTGTTTTGGGAGAGGTCAGATAAAGAAAAAAGGAGCATTAACCTTGACTATGCCTTTAGCTCCAGCCACCTCTTTTTGAGGAAATTGTTGGGCAGGTGGGGGAGGGCTCGTCATGGAATGAAACTGTAAGCCGGATTGGGTGTGAGAAGGGGAGGTGATAGAAGGATTATAGGGTGGGGGAGCAGAGGCTGAGGAAGAATTGGGACCTGGCTCAGCCTGGGGAGGAGGCAGAAGTCGGATGGGTCCGTAGAAAAGGAGCATTCAAAGTACTCAGAGCTTGGGGTGGAGACCGAAGGAACAGACAGGAGAGAAAGAAGAAAGATTTGGGATAAGTCGCATTGGGAGCAGAGACTAGGGGGGGACTGATGTGTAAAAGAATGCCTGGATATCAGGCACATCAGACCATTTGCCCATTTTATGACAAGAATTATCTAGATCTTGTAGGGTGGAGAAATTGAAAGTGCCATTTTCTGGCAATTTGGAACCTCTGTCAAGTTTGTATTGGGATCAGGTGGTATTGCAGAAGAAAATAAGGTGTTTACGTTTTAGGTCAGGTGAGAGTTGAAGAGGTTTTAAGTTCTTGAGAACACAGGCTAAGGGAGAAGGAGGAGGAATGGAGGGTGGAAGATTGCCCATAGTGAAGGAGGCAAGCTCAGAGAAAAGAGAGAGTAGAGACACAGAAGGTTGGAGTGGCACTTGCCACCCAAGGGAGGTGGTGCTTGCCACCAAGGTGAAGGACCAAGGCAGGTGTCCCTGTGGTGATCAGACACCTCTGAAATATGGGTGAATAATCAGGCAGGTACCCCTGCAGTGATTAAACACCAAGGGAACACTGTCTTCTTGAGTCTGTGACCAGTGCTGGAGTTTTGGGTTCACAGATAAAACGCATCTCCTCTGTCTCCACCAGAAAAGGAAAGGAACTGAAATTAAGGGATGTGATAGATTGAAGGGTGGTGCCAAAATTGAAAGGAGAAAGAGGTTGAGGGACAGTGAGAGAGGTTGGAGAAGAGAGTAAAAAGAAGCTGCTTACCCAATTTAAAATTGGTGAGATGTTCCTTGGGCTGGTTGGTCTGAGCACCGAGGTTGTAGGTGGATCTTTTTAACGGAGCAATGAGCAGGAGGACAGGGGATTGTCTTATCAGTTAAGACAGGAACCGGTCATTTTCACTTCTTTTGTGATTCTTCAGTTGCCTCAGCATTTTCACTTCTTTTGTGATTCTTCAGTTGCTTCAGGCCATCTGGATGTAAATATGCAGGCTTGGGCTCAAGAGGCCTGACGTGTGTGTTTTGTGTTTTTCTGGATAGGCATTCTTTCCTATGGAAGAGGTAAGCAGGGGGAAGGGAGCTCACGTTCATCAGATACCTACTATGTGTAGGAACCTTGTGTGTCCCTGGAAGGGTGGATGACCCCACATGTGAAACCTCTAGTGTGGTTCTTTTTGGAATTAACTACCATTGCTCAAAAGGGCCTAAATAAAATACCAAATTTTAACATGCTGGAATTTTTCTTTTTTTTTCCTCCTTCAAACATTTGTAGCTCTTTATATGTGGTATTTTCCCTGTGTCAGAAGGGAAAGAGGGTGCCCTTTGGGGAGGTTCTCTTCCAGACTCCTAGAAGAGAATCTGATTTAGCTTAAATGCACAAACAAGGCCTTGCCACGTCACTGGCCAACTGCAGCCAAACTACTTCAGTCACAGAAATAATTTGGACACTTCTGCTTTTTAAGGAAAAGATGATTTCCCTGGATTTTTTTCCTGTGAGGACGAGGGATTCCAAAACCCCAGGAAGTCAAGTACAGTTCACCAACTTTATTTTTTGGGGCGCAGCGCATTTGCTTCCCGTAGTCAGTTGCGAAACCGTTTTTTAGCGCGCACGGGGCTTTCATCTCTTGCGTGCATGCGAAGTGCTACCGAGACGCCCCCTTTATGGACTTGGCCATGGCTACTTTTGTTACAAATTAACATCTGGGACTCGGGCTGCTGCGAATAGGAAACTCCCGCGATTCGCTGCCCAGGTCAGCTGCCCAGGTCGCCGCCCTCCCAAGAATGGACTCTGCACCTGTCATCCATGCCCGCTGGTACACCTCGCTCACTCGCACGCTTAACGCGCTGGGACGCCCCCGACCTCCCACCTCCACCCTAGCCACAGTTCGTCCCGCCCTTCCGCGCAGACTCCGTGGAGTCCTGTCCCGCCTTCTGCGCCCTGCGACGGTCGGGAGATTGTGAAGGGCACCTCCGGCAGCCAATTAACAGCCGCACACTGGGCGGGACCACACTTGGGCAGGCGGAGGGGGTCGACCTAAGGCGGGGACTTTTGAATGACAAGGATGACGGCCAACCGTCGGGGGACCTTCTACTGCGCCCCGCCCCTGAGCCGGCCGCCCAGCCCCCGGAGCTGTGCCCGGCGCGGGGAATGTCCCGGGTGGAGCTGGCGGAGTCGCGCGCTCTGCTCCACCCGACGCGGCTGTGTGTGCTGGGCCTGGCTCGCGGTGAACCGAGATGGCAGAGCAGTCGGACGAGGCCGTGAAGTACTACACCCTAGAGGAGATTCAGAAGCACAACCACAGCAAGAGCACCTGGCTGATCCTGCACCACAAGGTGTACGATTTGACCAAATTTCTGGAAGAGGTGAGTTGGGGGTGAGCGGCTTGGGGCGCAGGGAGCGTGGGCCGGGTTTGGGGGTTCACCGGCATGACCTGTCTTTCGCGGCCCCGAGTCCGCATACGTACGCCTGGGCGCGCCCCTCCCCCGAGTTCGCTCACCTGCACGTGTACGCCTGGGCGCGCTTCCGAGTCCGCACACCTGCACGTGCACACCTGGGTGCCCCCCACCACCTCCAGTCCGTACACCTGCGCGCGCACACCTGGGAGCGCTCCCCGAGTCCGCACATCTGCTCGTGTATACCTGGGAGGTCTCCTTAAGTCCATACACCTGCGCGTGTACACCTGGGAGCGCTCCCCGAATCCGCACACCTGCGCGTGCACACCTGGGAGCGCCCGGGCACGGTGGCATCATCGCTACGTGGTCCGGGGGCGCACTAGGCAGGAGCTGGTGCACTAGGCAGGAGCTGGCGCTCGGGCCCTGTGGCGGTGCTGGAGCAGCCTTCCCGGGAGAGCGCGCAGCTATGCGGGGGATTTAAATGATCCCTTTCTTCCTTGAGTTTGAATAGAAGGATGTCCTTCCACGACCGGTGGCATCCTCGGAGTGGCCGGCTGGAGACCACCCACCCCGAGAGCCGCGGATCCCGCCGAAGGGGACCCCGAGTGCGGAGGTCGGGTGTGGCCCGGGCCCGCCCTTCCCTTGGCAGCCACTGGCCGACCTTGGGGCCCACATCCACTCGCATTCGCGTTCACCTGGAAGAGGCCCGGTGTTAATTGACCTTTTCCTGGCTTTGGCAGCCAGGTGCCGTGCTTGACTCCTGAGACCGCGGTGTGTGGCTCGAGCAAGAACTCAGGAAGAGGCCAGGCAGAGAAGCGTGCGTTCTGCTGTCGGACTCGCCCCTAACAGCTTTCGAAGGTGTAATAGGGAACGTTTGTTAACTTAAAGGAAGACATTCCTTTGATAAGATAATTTGCATTCGATTATAATTTTTGCCGCACACGCTAAGGGGCGTTTTTGGTGGTTGTCTTAGATCCTCTGAAGTGTTTTACCACTTTTGGGGAGTCTGAATCATGAATCTTAACGCGTGCTCACGCCCCTCTCCCAATAATGAGAAATAGTGATGGGAATTTTTTACGTAGTCCGGGAGCAGGGAGACAAAAACAGATGCCTGGTCTGAGCTGGATCACAGTTTACATCAGAGGACTTTGGTTTTGCAGAAAATGTTAAAATCAAAAGGCCTGGTTTAAAAAATGAGGCTGGGCCAAGCACGGTGGCTCACACCTGTAATCCCAGCACTTTGGGAGGCTGAGGTGGGTGGATCACTTGAATCTAGGAGTTCGAGACCAGCTTAACCAACATGGCGAAACCCCATCTCTAACCCCCAAAATACCAAAATTAGCCAGACCTGGCGGCGCTCGCCTGTAGTCCCAGCTACTTGGGAGACTGAGACAGGAGAATCCCTTGAACCTGGGAGAGGTTGCAGTTAGCAGAAATCGTACAACTTTACTCCAGCCTGGGGGACGGAGACCCTGTCTCTAAATAAATAAATAGAATTAAATAAAAAATAAGGCTGGAGTTGATGTTTATTGGTAAGGTATTTCACTCTGGAGCAGTGCCCAAAGATAAAGTCGTGTTACCATTTAGTAAGGAGAGGTTTATGTTAGGGAATCAGAGCTGACCTGCCCTCTCCCTCCTGCCGGGCTGCAGATCCTGTCATGTAACAAACATCAGTTCTCATTAACTCTAAATGTGGAATTTTAAGACACAGTGTGTGCTTTGTCTGTTTGTGTTTATAAAAAAAAGTAGCATAAGAGAATATTAGGATATTTTATGTTATGAAGCATTTTCTTCGTTTCTTTTGTTTTCTTTTTTCCTAAAACGAGTTTTTTCAACCCTGGCACTGTTGACATTTTGGGCCAGCTGATCTTTGTTGTGGCGTCTGTCCTGGGCATTGTAGGATGTTGAGCCACCTCCCTGAGTTCTACCCACTAGATGACCGGTACCACCATCTCCCCTATTTTTTTTGTTTTTGAGATGGAGTTTTCCTCTTGTGGCCCAGGCTGGAGTGCAATGGCTTGATGTCGACTCACTGCAACCTCTGCTTCCTGTGTTCAACCAATTCTCCTGCCTCAGCCTCTCAAGTAGCTGGGATTACAGGCGTGCACCACCACGCCCAGCTATTTTTTGTATTTTTAGTAAAGACAGGGTTTCACCATGTTGGCCAAGCTGGTCTTGAACTCCTGACCTCAGGTGATCCACCCACCTTGGCCTCCCAAAGTGCTGGGATTACAGACATGAGCCACCACTCCCAGCCCTACCTCCCCTATTTACAGCAACGAAAAATGTCTCCAGATATTGCCAGAGGTCCCCTAGGGCACATAATCTCTCCAATTTAAAAATTACTAAGGTTACTGTGCATGACTTTAGGGGTAGATTTTCAGAGAAGATAACAAGGAAGTGAAGATTATTGTTAAAATGTACCCAAAACCATTTACTTTCACATTTCATTCCTGTGAGTCAGGAAAGGAGGGATTGTGCAAAAATTTTCCGAGAAAAACTGAGAGATGAGAACAAGCTCTTGAGTGCGTAAATTAGCTGAAAACAAATTCCTTTATTTTTTCTTACTCAAAGTTTTTGTGGAGAATGCATCTCAAATAAAATGAACAGGAGGGTGGCTGACCCCGGGAACAGCTAGGAGGATGGCGTGAGTGAGGAGGCTGGGGTGTGGGAGAAACACAAGGAGTTTAGTTTTCGTCCTGTCGACTTTAAGGGGTTGGAGAGATCTTCAGGCGTTGGGAGAACTGCATGCGCTTCTGCCTCCGCTGTCTGCCAGCATGTGGTTCTGGGAAACAGCAAGGCCACTTAGCCTTTCGCTGGATTGTGGCTGCCCTCTCAGCACCTCCGATTCGACCTTTTATGGATGTATTTTTCTATTTGCCGTCTTTATATTATTGCTTTGACTTTCTGTGACCATCTCTTGCTTATCCCGGTCGTTGGCTTCCCAGCCTCCGGCAGGGCCTCAGGTTCTACCTGAGATTCTAACCAGGATTCCTTGCAGGTGACTTCCTGTGCTCCTGGGATTACATCTCAAATAAGCGCGCGTCTTCTCGCTCAGAGCTCTTCAGCACACTGCCCTGCCAGGTAGTTCTTTTAGGAGGCCAGTGTGTTTGTCTCAAACCTACTTTTAAAACAGAAATGAGTGCAGAATGTCTCTGCCTGTCTTCCCCGCTTGCCCAGTCCTCCTTCCTGTCTTCTGTTGTTGAAAGGCTCCAGAATTTCATGCAGCCTTTGTGTGTTAACTAAAAAATACTTTATCTCACCTAATTTACCTAAATAGGAAAGATTTTTCTTCCCCTCCTAACTCTCAAATGAGCTTTCAGTCATTATGGGCTAGACCTTTGTCTACTGTGAGATCCCCCATCCGTATGGACAAGATTTCTCATGACTGAGTGTTTCACATTCTTTCAGAACGTCCTAGATTTATGTGCATGTCCGTGTTCATGTTGAGAAGGTGTGTGGTGAGATGGTGGAGGGATCCTGCTCTGCTGGCAGGTACAAGCCAAGAACACAGGTTGAAGCTCAGCTGTGCAGTGTGCGCTCTGACCTCCTGAAATAATGGCCTCTGAAGCTGTTTTTGCTGTTCCGGAAGAGGGGTAGAAACCTAAGAGGGAAGACTGGTTTATTACTAATGGCAGTCTACATAGCAGCAGGTGCTTAGTTACTGTCTGATACTTAAAAGATTTTGAGCTTTATTGCCTACATATTTTGAACTAGATTTTTTTTCAATCCTGAGTTATAGTTTTTGAGTTTATATTTGTGAAACTGAGTCTGCTTGATCATAGAACTTCAAGGGACAGTTCTTTGAAATGAAAACTTAGGCATTTAGGGCCGGGGGAGAAATGTTTGCATTTCCCTTTCTGCGATTTGGGCAGCAGCATCTATTCGGGTTTTAAAAGAGCTGTGGAAGGGAGAGAGAAAGGTATCCTGTAACTGACAACAGTTACATGGAAGGGATAGAGAACGGTATCCTGTAATTAACAACAGTTGCGTTAGATGTTGCTTTTGGTTCAAGTCAGTGGGTGTTTGATTTGTGAAATAGATGTTGTCCTGGAAAACTTTATAAAGCAGAATGTAATGTCTTTTTGTCAAGTTGTCTCCTCTCCCTTTACATCATAAAAATGGAAACTTGTTTCTGTAGAACATTTTCTAGTGATCCTGGGATTCTGATAGTCTTGGACCTGAGCCTTAAATGTTCTTTACAGCATTCTGCCTTGTAGAAGCTATTGGCTCCTGACTCACTTTGATTTTTGGAGTCTTAAGAGTGTTCTTTCTAGCAGGTGTTGTTGTAGGGACTTGCTGTTTGATATTTTCCATTGAATATGGCTGCCTACGTTGCGTAGACCGGTGCTTCCAAAGCTTGGGGATCACGGAAGAGAGTATGGGTGTTGAAATTCGTTGCCCTTAATTCTGAAAAACATAGAACACATATCTTTACCCTTGTTAAAGCTACCATATTTAGGGCTAAAATGCTAAATGCCTTTGCTTTTTGCAAGAATATTTGATGGTATTCTGAATCTCATGTTACT